TTCTTGTTTTTAAAGGTTATCTAAATAATCTAAATGACCAGACTATTCCTTTAATAACACTGATAAGTTTTATTTGCTAAAACTATATCCAGACTGGTGAGAATTTTGTCAGAGGTTTTCCAGTACACAAAAATTGGTTCCAGAGCTCCTGTTAATGAGGTGCAAACTTTTTATGTATGTAGAGCATTGTTGTTCTGATCTTTATCCTGTTTAAGTCACACTTAGAAAACTCAGCCCCTAATTTCCTCCCTTCAAAAGCGATTGTTGTTGTTGTTTCAATTTTTAGCTAATTTCCTTTATTTATACTGCTTTTGTCATGCGTCGATAATGTTGACCAACTTTAGATATTTACAGATTTGAAACAGCTGCAAACATATAATTAGATCTTATCAACTTTGGCCATATGTTTGTGAACAAAACTCTCTTCCCCTCTGCCACCAAAGAGCTAAAAACACTTAGGAATTTGGCAAGTTTACAAACTTCCGTATTCTTACTCTTCCTACTAGGATCCTAGATCTTAATGAGCTTCCTAAACCTAATCTACGTGAAATGTAAGTCTATGAACTGTCTTTTCAGAATTGTGTTACCCAATTTGCGGAAAGGCTGTAATTGCCTTTCTGGTGGTTTCCTTCATATTAAACACTGTACCTAGAACTACTGTGTTCATGACAGTGAGGATGGCCTCATAGTGATTCATAACAAAACCACCCCTAGTCACCCACGGCTCCTCTCACAGGGGAAGAGTCTCCTTTCTGAAAACTAAATGAATATACCTGAGGTTTCTCCTCTCCATTCTTAGTTGTCTTCTTAGGATTTGGAAATTTAGCTTTGATTTTCTTCAGTTAGAAGATCATCAGATATTTTCCCTTTAATGTTGTGCATGCATAGACCATACTGCAGGAGAACAGATTCTGTAAGACTTAGTTACTTAATAAACTCTATTTTATTAGAGAAACTGCCATCGTCCTACCTACTCCTCCTCCTAATAGATAACATCTCATTTTAATCAGCTCCTTCTGCTGGGTAAAACTCTGTCCTAACGGGGGTGAGTCATTACCTTGTTGAGATTTTATTCCATTTTTCCTACTTAACAATCATTCCTTTAACAGAACTGATTCAGTGATGAGCTGCCTTTGGAAGCAGGGGAGACGTTTGATTTTTGGTTACTCTAACTCTCTAAAATCAGTAGCAAATGAAACTGCAGAGGTAATGGAAATCAAGGGAAAGATTACATAAAGAAGTACAGGGAAGCAATTTCAGAAACAAAGAGTTCTATCTAAATTCGAATTCATTAAAATGGTTCTAGGTCAAAAATCTGCAATAAAATAACCCAGAGTAAATGCATTGAACTATCTAAGCTGAAATTGTTTTTTTTCATTAAAAAACGGCATGTGATTTTGACCTATATAATAAATCTTGTGGGAAGATGACACATGTTAAAGTCAATAAAATATTTGTTGTAAGGAACTAGGAAAGAAGGAATGGGAAAAATGCGTGAAGAAGTATCTTAGCAAAGCTTCTCTGTAGAATACAGAAACAATGAGGTTTGCATCAAATTCTGGGCCTGATTTGGGACAGATCACAGAGCTATGGGTATTGAAGACTTTTAATAAATATTCATGTTTAAATGCAACTCTCATATTTTTACTAGTCAGTAGAGATATTGAGGAAGTAAACAAAGATTTCACAGCTCATTTTACCTTTAAGCATGAACACTTAATATTGTCTTTCTTCTTCCTGGGGGAGTGGGTGGGACGGAGGATGGGGAGCAGAGGAGAGACACTAGGTGGAGGCACATTTAAACAAAGCTGAATTTAGCTTATATTTTAATTCACTTGTGTGGGTGCTCTTCTTCTAAGAAGACAGAATCCAAGTGATCTCCTAGGAAAATTTTAGCCATAATGTAAGCAAAGCAAGTTCTAGAACTACCAGGATAATTAAGCATCTGACCGGCTCGTTTAAGTCAAACAGCCTCGTGTAAATAGGTTGATCGAATAGTGTTCATTTTATACACTTCCCTCCTTTCCTGCAGGATCCCTGTCAGCTGTTTTTGATTAGATCCTCCACCTCCTTTGGGACTTAACCGTTAAAGAATTCTTTAAAGAAACACTCACTTGAGTTTTGGCACGCTTTTCTCTGACATTTTCTTTACAAATAATATAATAACGCTTCTTGATTCTTCCTAAGCAATTTCAGTACTTGTGACAGAAAGCTCTCAGACAAATTCAGAATAGAATGCAAATTTAAAGGCAAAGAGCAGACTTAAAGGGGCAGCAAAGGAGAGTCAGAGGCTCATGTTTTTATACAAAGAGGTTGTGCATCTTCAGTTGCCTATTCATAAAAGGATGTAAGGTAGTGTACGTGTGTCAGAGATTGCTGATACTCAGAACTATCCACTTCCCCTCTCTCTATGATCTTGCATCTGGGGGGAGCCATATGACTAGTTCTGACCAATGGACTGTGAGACAAAGAGAATTATGTTCCTTCCAGGCTGAGGAAGTGAAAAGCCCTCAGGGGACCCTCTCTTTCCCTGACACACCAACCCTGGAAGTCACAGGTTCCAGATATTAGACATGCAAGCTGGGGACAGTCCATGTCGTGCCTCGCTTGAAAAGAAGAGCCCAAGAGAGCTGTTGGATGCAAAATAGCTTTACATAAATGAGAAATAAATGTTTATGTGTTAAGCCACTGATATTTTAAGGATAGTACATTATCACAGCATGACTCAATCCCTCATGACTTATTCAAAACACAAATATAAAATTTTCAAATTTTCAAATTCAGAGATGTAATCAGTAAACAATTATGCACCATGACCTGTTAAAAATAGATGTGCAAATTAAAATGACATTTAATGTATTATTTAACACTTTTTTTGAAAATCATAATACCCATATCTATACATACTCATGCATTGCTGCCAAAAACATAAGTGAAATGTTTTTGGAATTTTTCATTAAAAGTATTCATAGTTTTGATCCAGTCTATACTCTTCTCATAGCCAAGACCAAAAAATCAAAAGCCACAGAGAAAACTTTATTACAAAATGTGTTTATTGCAGTGTTAATCATGCAGTGAAAAAAGAAACCATTTAAAATATGAGGTAATAAAGGATTTAAATAAATTATAATAAATCAATGTGATTAATATTAATCAACTATTGAAATAGTGTTCCTGAAAGTCACAAATAATGTAAAAATCTTTTTTTTTTAATTTGTAATTCCCCATTTCTTTCTAAGTAATAGTAACTGAAGGGTTGTGTTCTGGAAAAGTATATTTACAATAAAACTAATTAAATTGCTCTGAACAGGAAAGAGAAAAGAGATGGAGATAGGAATGATTGCTAGAAAGAGGGTGACAGATAACCTGGGTATTGCCTTGAGCAGGGCGTGGTGAAGGAAGAGAAGAAATTCTGAATGGCAAAGATGAGATTGAGGAAACTAACTAATGTGATGGAAAATTTGAAGCATTTGAAATGGGAAGTGCAATGTAAGTTCTCTCCTTCATCTGCCAAGTAAAATATTTATTAAATTCTATCTTGCTTGCTTTTATGTAAGTGGATTATTTGGGTGAGTAGTGTTGGGAGAGAGATACTAGCGTTTATGTTTAAGTTGTACAGATGTGAAAACAGAGACAGCATGCATAGTCTGATTAGTGTAATAGAACACGAAAGGGAAAAAGTCAGCATAAACTACATAAAACCAAATAAAACAATAAAGAAAAATCATAACTAGTTGGAGACGAAAGACTAGAATGAAATACACCACCCAAAATGTAAACATTCTTCTAGCTCCTGGAGAACTAAATTGTCTCAGTGGGACACCATATGTAGAGCCGGGATCCAGCTACTGCATGCAATCCTACCAAGAGAAATATAACACCAGATGATCTGGAAAAGAGAAGACAAATAAAAATCTGCAAGGAAAGCCAAGAGTTGAAAATGGAAGAGACTGCTCTTGTAGCCAAATCCAAAGAGCAAATGGAATCACTACAGGGAGAAGAATCCCAGGGGAGGGCAGCTCAGACTCAAGCGAGGACCTTCTGGATCCAGTGTTTTGATTGCTATTAGGTGATCTACTGGATGGAGTATACAAGGGCTATAGCTTGTTTCGGTGGAGGGCTATGAGTATTTGGGTTTTTCTCTCCCGATGTCTACTTTTTGAAATTTTTAGAATATTCTTTAGTATAAAATATAACATTTTATAATGGAATATAATTTGAATACTTAGGGCTGGATAAGCAGAGATAAGGAGAGTAAAGGAGAAAATGAATTTAAGGAGACAGCACTGCATTGACAAAAGTTATACAGTTGAAACTTTTCATTGAAAGCATTCATAGTTTTGATCCAGTATGTACACTTTTGATAATCAAGACAAAAAAATCAAAAGCCATGGAGAAAGCATTATATAAAATATGTTTATTTCAGTGTTAATCATTGAGTGAAAACAGGAAACGATCTTAAATGTGAGGTAATAAAGAATTAGAATAAACTATAATAAATCAATGGGTTAATATTAATTAGACTTTGAAATATGTTCACCTTTCCAACCCTCCCCCATTTAAGCTCTTGTTCCTCAACTATTTCCAGCTTCAAATCTAAGATGATCCCATTTAACCTTTGCCTTTAAAAGGTTTATCGCCCATTTATTTTTCAAAAGCAATTTTAAATGACAGGCAGTAAAACATATTTAAAGCAGGACACTTAAAATAAACAGTTGTTGGTTAAACTCAGAAACCACCAATGAATGGGAGGGTATAAAAATTTGTGTGTCTCCCCAGGTCACTCCAAAACTCCTTTTTCTCTGTTAATGCCCCTTTCTCATGAGAGGTGACCCCTCAGTGATGATGCTTTGTTATGTGACCTGGCCATAATTTAGAGGACAATATGCAACCTCTTGACCCAACTGGGCCAGGCAATTTCTCTCTGCATAGAATTTGGAATTGGGCTGAGAGAATGTCCACTTAGCTAGAATTATGACAAATAGAGAGCAAGAAGAGAAAAGTACACCTGGGGAGGTAGGGACAGGGACAGGGGAGAGAAGGAGAGAGGCAGCCTCCATAAAAGAAGCAGTTTCCAGAAACAGAAGCTTGAGACATTTCCAGTATACGTCCTTTGCTGAGAATCAACACTACCCTTAAATCTGAGTTATCCCATGAACCCTTTTATCTGTTTTTTGTTCAAGCTGACTGAAGTTGTTTTATGTTAATTGCAGCCAAATATTCCTGAATCATGGGATGAGAGAGAGAGAAAGAGAATTGTATAAGAAACCAGAGAGAAATAAAGTACTAATTTGATGCTGACTTAACTGGCAGCCTTTACAAAAGAAAGAAAAATAATAGACCGGATAATACTTCTCACCTCATACAAGGTAACATACAAATTAAATTTAGTATAATAAATATTAAACCATAGAATAAATGTGTGGTTTATTATCATTGTATTTATTAGCTAATAGAAGAAATTTATAATGTAAATGTTCATAAATGAAATACTGGATTTCAACAATCATTTAAATGTACACACAACAAAGCAAACCAAAAAAATCTCCGGTGATATTCGGTGGGTATTTTTAGAGCTTGCTTCTGTCTCTTACAGCATTTGTATCTATTGCTTTGCTTATAACAATGAAAATCCAAACAGTAATTTTCCTAAAACACTAAATATTTCTTCAAAAATCAAAAACAGATTTAGTTATGTTTATTATATTGAGATTATTGAGATAAAATCATTTGTAAATAATTTAAAATATTTTCACAGGAAGGAAGCAGAATTGTTCCTTCTTAATTCTTGTTAAATAGAAAGTTTCATTTCCTTGGGCATTCTGATTATTTCATATCTTATGCCAAGGGCCCTGATATTTTATCAGAATATTTCCACTTTTTATGGGAAATTGAGTAAAATGTGTTTTGTGTTATAATATATGATTAAAAATAGAAGAAAAAGATTACTTACATTTGAATTAAATTTGAAAACATTCCTATTTCCTTTTTGATTTTCCTTTAATCCCATTAGGCAGAAAGATGTTTTGGGAGAAGTAGAGAATTCAAGACAACATTTGAGTAAGCATGTGAAAATGCCTCTCAAGTAAGATTTTAATCCTGGTATAATTCGAAGCCTTCTTTTTGGAAATTGCATACTTTGCAACCAATAATATTTCAACTCTGAAATGCCTTTGATCCAGAAGCACTTGGCACCTGAATACGTTTTAGCTTTTTCCTCCTAATTCCTTAATACATATTCCTATTTATACAGGGTTTGGATAACCTTTTCATTTGTCTTATAAATTTAGACTTTTGTTCCTTTCTAGTTCTTTCAGGTCATCATTTGCTGGCCCTGGTCCTTTACTTTGCTGTCTTGTTTATAGAGTTATTCCCTCTAGTACGAAATATGAAGCCCTCTACAAGTCATAGTGGATTTGGAATAAAACTCTTGGATTCAATTCTTTGCTCCTAACAATCTGGTTGATTTTGGACAGATTATTTAACTGGCCTCTGTTTATTCAAATGGAAAATGGGGAGAATAATCTATTTTCTTTAGCTATTATGAGAATGAAATAGACAATACATAGATAGCAGTGTTCATGGAAAGATTAATATATAAATATCAAACTGCATTTGCTCAATTAGTATTAGCTATTATCAGGAGTATGTTAGCATCAGGAATAGCTAATCTTATCTTTTATTAAGGTGATATGAATCAATCAGAGACAAGACTGGAAACAAATGGGGAAATTGAGGAAAGTTATAACAAAGGGAGTATTTACAAAGATATCTGAGGTTGAGGGAAATCCACAGGGAGGATGAAGCAGCCTGGTGCTAACTACAGCATAAAGTTGTTACCAGCCTAGGTTTAAATGAGCAAGATAAGACAGTGGCTACAGAAAGTCAGAACTGTAGGATAGGACTAACTGGCAAGAGTTATGGCCTTTGGAAGAGGAAACAAGCCACTGCCAAAACACATTCGGCAGGGAGACGACCAAGGGAATTAATAGGTGACCTCACTCTCCTCCCACCCTCTGAGCATCAGCTGATGCCCCCATGGGCTGAACCCAACTCAAAGTCAGAGGACAAAGGAGACTGGATGAAGGCTACAAAAGTCATCCTCTCGAGGAAGAGAACAGGGTGTATAATGGGGAAGAATGGATCTGGAGGTGCCAAAGGCATCTATCCAGCCCAGCTACCTGATTTGTTCCTCAGCATCCACCCCTGTCATTTTCCCCAGTGAAAATCATATGAGCGTAACAAAGAGAACCACAAAATCCATTCAGCAGTCATCATGAGTGATGTTAATTTTGGCATAAACTATACACCATAAGCCACTTAAAACCCGAAACTAGTCACTACCAGTTTTATTCACATAAAGTACTGGGGGTAAAAGAGAGAAAAGAAACAATTAAAATAGAACACACCTGCTATATCTCCCACCCCAAGAGCTAGTCATGGAGCCTACATTGATAACTCCATCAAGAGTTTCCCAGCTGCTCTGCATCCCCAGTTTCAGCCTGTGATTTTCCCATTTTATTCTGCCATCAAAATGTCTTTATTTTCAAACATGATCAACTTATGATAATTGGGTTTTGTAACTACTGCGCAATGATTAAGTCCTTAGACTCACTATCTATATCTATCCATATATATTGCCTATGCATGTATAAGATGGCTACTACATCAGTATTAACATTCTTCAGAAATGCATATTCTAGTATTACATGACTAGAGACATTGTGTTAACCGGAAGAAATGAGTTTTTGAAATGGTGATTTTTAGTGCTGTATGCGTAAGTCCAGAAGCTATTTAAGGACAAAAATTGTTTCTGATGCTTCCCAAATTAGATGTGAGGCAGCCAACTGTGATTTCTGTTTAAGAGGACCTGTCGAAAGACTCTTAAAGATACACCAGGTTCTAATTTTCTATTGGACAGGCAACATACTTAGTGTTGTCTTAACTGCAAAATATTTGCCATCAGATATTCTCATTGTGAAATGATGAATGTGCTGCAACAGAGGTTGCAAACTCCTAGAAAGTATGTGGGGTGTGTTTTTCTACTGTGTTTAAAGCTATAATTCCCATCCTTACAATAGTGCCTGGCACGCGGGAGGCCCTCAGTAAATATTTGTTGAAAATAGAGGCAGGATAAATAAACAAAAATGACTACAGACTGCAGGGTACATATAAGGAAGTGACCATTGATGGCATCCAAGTGAAGACTGCATAGTCAGACTCAAAGTGCTGAAACACAAATATTTATATTTTTGAACCAGAGAAAATGCATCCATAGACCAAATCTATAGTTTACAGGAATGTGACTGCAGCAATGTGAGCAATGCCCTCATATGGAGTGACCATGTGCACTCTACATAACGATTTTAGCCTCAATTTTCTCAATGCTAAATTGAAAAGAAATAATACCTACATTACAGGGTTGTTGAAAGGGTGAAATAAGATTTAACATAACTCTTAGCACACTATGAGTGTTTAATAATGGTAATGATATTTATACTACTACTACTAATAATAGCTAATACTTATTGGATATTTGCTATGTTCCAGTCACTGTTCGAAGTTATTAAACATATATTAACTTGTTTAAATTTAACAAACAAGATGTGGTCCCAGGTTAAGAACTTGGACTCATAGCCACTATACTCAATAAATAAAAATAATTCTCTGAACTCAAACGTCATCCTCTAAAGCATTCTAGTGATGTTCAAATCTCATAAGAGTCTCTCCTGCTGGAGTATGGGGAAGCTGCTCCTGGATTTTTCCTGAAAATTCTCTTGATTTTGGAAATACATTTAATAGAGATTGTCATCTGTGGCAGCAACTTATGAAAATTCCTTAACCTCCTCTAGACTTCCAGTCAGACACAAAATCTTGAAGCACAACTGAAAAGAAGGTTGGGGGGGACCTAAGAGGGGGGAGGCAATCGGGTGCCCTGTTTAAGTAGAGTCTCCCCAGAGAGTGATGCAAGCTGCTCAGAGTCTTCATTTTCGTCTCTCAAGGGCTGACTGCTGAGCCAGGCAGCTTCCCTCATTCTAGAATATGTAATGGGGCTTTATTTCTGACATTGTGGTTGCTTTTGTTTTTCTGCGGAGGACACTTAAGTATTTGGGGATCTTTGATGTGAGACAATTAGGAGCCTAGAACACCATTAGCTAGTCAGAGGAGCGAAGCCCTTTCCTGGCAGAAATGTAGGCTGCAGAAGATGTTTATTGCCAGCCTTCTGCCTTTGTAATGAGATACTTCAGAAAGATTTGCCCTGCAATTGAGATAGAGTGCACAAGAAGCCCAATTAGGAGCCAATGACTGCAGAATTCAGTGGAAGTGATGAATTTGAATTCTCAGATATAAACAGAAATGGAAGATTGATTATAATCTTTTGGAAGGAATTTTTATCATGGTATTACAATTTTCAAAGCAAAAATGTCAATAAAAATGCTGTATATTAGCCTCAGGAATTTTAAATCCATTTATGGGAAAAACAATTAATTAAAAAATCAAGCTATCTCATGTTTCAGAAGTTTCCTTAAACTGTAATCCAATTCTTCTCATAAAAACTACATTTAGAAATACTTAGGAGTAGTGTATGTGAATTTTATACAACATTAATTTTAAAATCAATGAGAAGTCATGAAACTTAACCATAGCTTCTTAACCATAAGTGATATAATAATAGAACCCCCATGGAACCTCTGTGAGGATTCCATGAGATAATACAAACATTTGCTGAATATTTATTGAGCATGCTCTATGTCAGGCACTGTTTTAAGCACTTGAGATACATCATGAACAAATGTATTCCCTATTCTTGATGAACTTAAATTCTGGTGAGGGTTAGAAAGCAATTAGAAAACATAAATTAATAAATAAGTAAATTAGCATATTAGAGAATGAAGAGTAAAGAGCTGAACAAGATAAGAGGTAATAAGGAGTGTTTGGGGGAGGTCGAAGAGAGGAGTTCAGTTTTTAATAGTGGTAGATCTCTTTGAAAAGGTGGCATTTGAACAAAACGAATTTAAGGAGGTCAGAAAGTTAGCAATGAAGATATCTAGGGGAAGAACATTCCAGAAGAAGAAAACAACCTGTGCTAAGGATCTAGGTTGAAAACATGTCTTGGTTCTTTGAGGAACAGCACGGAGGCCAAGGGATTTGGAGGGAAAGGAGAAAAGGAGAAGCAGGAGGAGATGGAATCAAAGAATGAATGAAGGGTCAGGTCATATAGACCTCAAAGGTGATTGAAAGGACTTTGATTTTAACCAAGTGAAATAGGAAACAATCACAAAGTTTTAGCAGAGCAAAGGCATGATGTGAGTTATGGTTTAAAATGATTCCTGTGACTGTTGTGTTGAGAAGGGACTATAGTAGAATAGGCTGAGCAGAAGCAGGGAACATGTTGAAAGTTAGTGTAGTAATTCAAGCAAGAGATGATGGGGGTCCAGTCTAAGATGGTGATATACAGTCAGAACTGAAACTCGAGAGCCTGGCCTGAAATCATACTCCATGAGTATCAGCTCTTAGTTATTCTCATTTTAAGGAAGTGAGTGATAAAATGACATCTCTTGCTATTTGTCTTTCCCAGAAATACTGGTACAGTATGTGAAGAATATGGAGAAGTTTACTGGACCACAAAATTCCTCTTCCCCTCTGAGCTTTAGTTCAGCTCAATCTTGAATCTAATCAAAGTAAACGGTGTTTAGATTTTTTTTTCCTCTAACAACTTTATGATCACTAGTTTTTACGACTCTCTCATAAATCTGCCAATCTGTGAGTCTGTTTTATATGGTATTTTGGCTCTAGACCACTGAAAATAATGGTTTAACTCCCATCCGTATTTTTGGCATCAACTACATTTTTCTATATCTGTTTACACTAATTTATTACTGTTTCCATCCCTTCCTAAACACAATTTGCTTTTTTATCATTCTTTCCTCAACAGCAAGTTTAAACTATTTTAATTCATTCATCACTCAGTATCTTTTCTTTACTTTAAAATGATAAAAATATATGGGACAGATGCTGTCTATAAACTCATTTTAGCCATAACTTTAGGCACAGATGAAGTCAAACTCCCAAGTAGTTAATACC